GCATAGAATTCAAATAAGGGTAGTGTCATTGAATTTGGCCCGATGGTTATCGGGATACCTTCGCTCAAAGTTGGAGACAAGCCAAAACGCCTATCAAAATTGAAGCTGCGCCCAAATTTTTTAAAACCTTGAACGAAGACATCTCTACAACCACCAGACCAAATTCGCCAAATTTTTCTTTATTTGAATTCTATAGATGCATAGAATTCAAATAATGGTAATCTCATTGAATTTGGCCCTATGGTTATCGGAATACCTTCGCTCAAAGTTGGAGACAAGTCAAAACGCCTATTAAAATTGAAGCTGCGCCCAAGTTTTTTAAAACTTTGAACGAAGATATCTCTACAACCACCAGACCAAATTCGATAAATTTTTTTTTATTTGAATTCTATTGATGCATAGAAGTCAAATAATAAAAATTCATCGAATTTTGCCTGGTGGTTGTAGAGATATCATTGTTCAAAGTTTTAAAAATATTCAATTTTACAGGTCCGGAGATCCTATTATACTAGGTCGGAAATGATCTTCGGTCACGTGATAGTGCAATTTTTCTGCCACCACTAGCCTACTATTCTTTTGAGTCCTCAATATGTTCTGAGAGTGAGGCACTTGAGATTTGTTTGGGTTCCATATACTGAAGACCAGTAGCATCTTCTTTGCTTACTTCTTCGTGAGAAGCGGTTGACATTTTGTGTTTTTTGTTTGGAAGTTCTTGAAGTGAAGCTTTTGTAGTCTTTCTTTTTGCTGGAACAAGGGCTTTAGCCCTTGTTATTGTTAAACTATTTAAGTTTTGGTTTCTCGCTAAAGTGGATATTTTGCTAGCTAGAAATTGCTCTCTCCTCACTTGATGTGTACCGGAGAGAGTTAGCGTAGATCCTCTATTTGATTAAATTTAGAAAATACGATGTATAAAAAAAAAGGCAAGAGAACCAATTCTGATACCTCCTCAAACTTTAATACTTTACAGCACTCTAGATAATCATCAGATGAGCAAGGTGTAAAAGCTAATGAACGTAGATTATCCAAACTGACTTTGCTTACACCAGCCTTGTTTTTTGTATCAATATCATCTACTTCTTCAGTTACAACTGCATTAGTTTCATCTGCATTAGCTTCATCTGCATCGATTTTACCTTCAATAACAACCATTGCATCACTATCACCAACTAAAAAAAGAAAGGTTAACTTTCAAAAAGAAGTAGGTTATTTCTTTTTTTTTATATGTATTCTATTAGTCATAAAATTATCTAACATAATCTGATTTTATATAATATAGCCTCAAATCATCATTTAGCCTTCTTCATTTGCTACTTCTAGATATGAAAAAACTGCTGAAATTTCAAGTTCATAATTTTCTTTTTCTTTTTTTTTTAAAAAAAAATACATAACATATTTTTTAACCTATTATATATATTTTTTAATAGCTCAAGCTATTCCTAATCAACATACTTTAACCAAGATTCTAAGTATTGCACAAACCAATTCTGCAAAGCTTGATCAACTTGATAGAAACCATGCAAAGCTCAAATATTTAATTAGAGAACAATAAGTGTGACTTGAAGAAATTTTAAAAAAATTCAATAATGCTAATGAATTGATAAATGTGGAAGTAAGAGTAAAGAGAAAAAGCTTTCAAGTAAAATGACAGATAATTTTCTTCAGGTATGAATATCTTTTATTTATATTAATAATGTTGTCTATTAATATCATTATATATATTATATACTTTATATATTACTATACTGTGTTAGGGTGTAGTCAAACAACTAGCACATGAGTTATTTCATAACCATACACAAATTAGTGATGAACAAACGAAAGAAAAACTTCGAGATATGTTGGAAAGTGATAATGAATGTGAGAACAACTGCAACAATTAAAGGATAAAGGCATTACATATGACAAGTTGTGGAATGACAAATTATATTCAAAAGTAGGTTATTTTTATCTAACTTTCTTTATATATAAATGTTGCCAAGTAAAAGTGGGATTTCAGAATCAATTATATTTTGTACTGGGCATTAGCCCAGTACAAAATATAATTGATTTCAAAATCCCACTTTCACTTGGAAGCCTCATATAAATATTAACATTAATCATAAATATATATTAATTTTATTTAATGTACACAGATGCTTGTAGCAAATAGATTAAAAAAAAGGATACTACATTAGACACATCAAAGAAGGGTTATGGAGTATCTTTGAAATTAGTAGAATTAAACCATTTAGTGAAAATGATATGAAAGCACAAATGAAAAATTGGAAAAAGGATTCCAAGAAAGCTTACGATGATTTGTATAACCCTAGTTATCCATCTAATCCAAATTCTGACACATTTCTTTCTTTAATTATTAAATATGTCTTTGTCTCTGAGGATGAACAAACTGAGGCTAATGCTATCTAGACGCAAGCAGTTCTTGAAGTTATCTTTGATGAGAAGTACTTTTCACTAAAAATTGATTCAGATACTGTCAATATGTGGATTCAGAAGCTTTTAAATGATAAAGAAAAGGATAATGAAAATGTATATATATTAATTGTTATTAATTTAAAAATTTTTATTTGCACATATATATATATATATATTTAGGATACTGTTGCTCAAAATAGTCAGATAAGCTCTCCCATATTAGAAGCCAAATCTTTAAATGTGATTCAAGATAATTGTGATGATTTATTGGAGTCAAATATAAGCAATGAAAAAAACTCTTTTCGGTTTACTCCCAGAATTTATTAAAAAACAAAATTTTAACAAAAAACAACCAGGCTTTTTACAAAAACTCCAAAGTCGATAGGGCCAAAGCCCTTATTCTGAAAAAAAGGAAACTTGTCCTGACAAATATGGGCAAATACCAAAACAAAAAAGCTAAACTCTCTGGTCCAAAAGAGAAAATTTTCACCTTTTCTCCGGAAGAAGCGAAAAATACAAGAGTAGCAGCAACTACAGAGGAAGTCAATAATGCTAAAAGTAGTCCAGAACTAGATAACCAAACTGTTATCTTGAACAGCAACTCCTCTATTAACTGGGCAAATGATACTAAGAAAGAACTACAAAGCTGCGCCACTGAGGAAACTACTCTCCTAGAGCATACAAACCCATGGGTAGACTTAGAAGAAACAACAAACATGTCACATCTTGAAAACAACAATACCAAGGAACACATGTTGAGTGAAAACAACAACAATTATACACGTGATGAGTACCAAGCCACCAACTCAGGGTCTGGAGCTATGGACCCAGAACCGCAGCCACATGATCAAGCAGATGAAGCTAAGAACAAAACTTCTAACTCGGGAAAGTCTATACAATGGTCTAACTTATTTCCTAAGCTCAAAGGAGGAAAAGCAGTATTCTCTAAAGCATCCCCAAGACAGAGAATATATACCAAAAATGAAAATGCTCTGATTTTAAATATATGAAGCCTAATTAATATTAGTACTAACGACATCGTAGCAGCTTTAGCTGCAAAGCTAGGAAGCAATCTTATCGCAGCAAAGGCACATATAACAAAGGGAAAAAGATTTTCCTTAGAAATTATTTTAAAAGACAAAGAAAAAGTACAGCAATATGCCTCTAAGGGTATTAGCCTATTCAAACAAACCCTTTTTTGGTTATATTCCAGTTAATATCAGAAGGTCCTTCCTTATGGTTAAGCTTTGGGGCACTCCAATGGGTGATGCCAATACAATAGGAGACTTTATTCTAGAAGCATTTAAAGATATAGGACAAGTAGTCTCAATAAAACCACTTTTCTT